CCCCCCCCCCCCCCCCCCCCCCCCCCTTCCCTCAAAAAAAATCTATATCACTATTTTTTCATTCTGAAATGCCTGAAAACGCGCAAAAACTTCGTCTTGCCCACGATGAAAAAAAATTGTTGAGTGAAGAGGCTTCAACAGCCGTTTCTCTGTTCCCTTCTATTGTGAGCTTCTTATCTCATTGCTCCTCGATAAATTCGAAGGGCCACACCCGCATTCCTTACCTCACTACGATTCTGAATCGAAGTCGAATGTGAGGGCGCATTTCACAGACGGGATTATGTGCACCCGTTCATTCCGCAAAAGTACCAAGCTGCCACTATTAATAAATCCTCCACTCCAGCTTGCGATAGAGCTATGTAATCGACCTAGACAGATATTGTCTCCACTTGTATTAGTTTCCGTTAAAAATCACTTCTTCTTTAAAAATATCTCATGACCTGACAGATAATTTCTAGTTTTGACTTCAGTGTTGCAGAAGAATTTTCGACTATTTATCACTTCTGTTCAACATTATTTATCATTTGTAGAACAACAAGATTTCTCGTTGGGTTTCCGAGTCAAGAGAGAAAAAAAAAACATTACTTTACCACCTATTGAAATACGAACATGCTTATCAACATCATCAATACACATCAATTACACGTAGGACTGATACTGCTTTCGTGAAACACTTAGACGAAGCAATCACCAAAATTTCCGAGCAACTATTGCTCAACTTAGATTTACATATACTTTACAAACAAAGGAATTTCTTTGAAGGTAACCGTTGCAAAAATCAATCACTTTCATCACTACTTTGTATTTGTTTCTTCTTTTTGCGAGGAGCTGAATCACTGCCGCCACTGCCTGCATCGCTATCGGCAGGTGATCTTTGAGGCGCCGGTGCATCGTCGCTGTCTGATCCTGCACCAATCAACGGTCCTCCCCCTGATCCGCTATCTGACTGCTCATCATCAGAATCCATGACAGTCTGAATTTTCAGAATTGCTTTCTTTTCAAACCTATCTACTTTCAGATCTGATTGAGTGCAGTATACGTGCTTTTCTATTAAACACTTTATGATGGAGTGCGGAGGATGCGGTACAATTCCGATGCATACAGTAGATATGTACGGAAGCCCATATCGAGGTAGCCGCCCTATTACCGCATCACCTCGTGAGCGAACTTCGAGGGGATTCCTCTGTACCCCTTAATTAAAAATAGCGCAAGCCCGTCATTTGATTTAGTTACGAGGACCTAAACAGAAACTCCAATCACACCCTAGTCATAAGGAACCGTATCATTTTTTATATTTTTCCCGCCAAACCCTACAAGTGGCCTACAAAACAAATAGTGATTATCTAACTGAATTTCAAAATGTTCCAAATCTCAATAAACAAAAAGAATAAGCAAGAAGCTCTCTTACGCATAAGAGGGCACCAGACAAAGAAGAAGACCGGGAAGAGGAAGAGTTTAAATCTTGATGGCCCACCTTTTTCCGTCGGTGACGACCACTGTCATCGCTATCATCTGAATCAGTGATTCTCGGCGGTCTTGGACTCTCATCACCCACGTCTTCTGGTACACGAACAGGTGCGCCATCAGATGAATCCTCTTCAGACGAGAGGAAAGCTTTGCTTTTGACTGAATGATGAATATAACTCTGGACAACTGGTAATCTTCCAACAAATAAAGCAGATGGGCTTGAAACCTACTCTTTGCCGACTGTTTCTGTGACAACTTAGCCGCTGATTTCCGTTCTGCAGCTTCTCTTTTTCGTCTACGTCGCTCTTGAGCTGATTCTTCCCCTTCGGATCCACTGTTAGCCTCGGCAGCTCGCTTTTCTCTCCGCTTTCTTGCCGCTTTTTTGGATGACTTCTAAAAGCAATAAACAAAACATAAATCCCAAAATTCAACTCTGAAAGCTTCTTGAACTTAGCACCTACGTCTTTTCTTCGCCTCTCGCCATCACCTCCTCCTTCTTCGCCATGCCAGCTGCCCATGTCCGAGCTGTCGTTAACAAATTCATCTCCGACTTCACCTTTTCGCCTTCGGCCTCCACCGCCTCCCCTTCCACCCTTCTTTTCTTCAACCAACTACAATCGAACAGAATTATTTGCAGTATTTTTGCTATTCTAATTTAACTAGAAAGCACTCACTTCTGGTATCCGTAAAAGATTTTTCGTCATTTGCACATATTCATTTCTCATACTCGCCATTGAAGCTTGTTTTTCTCGTAGCTCCTTTTCGCGCTCCTCAATCTCCTGCGCCAGCTTTTGTCGAAGTGCCTCTCTCTCCTGAAAAATGTTACCAAATAATACCAAACTAGATGGATAAGGTTAAAGCCGAGAATAGCGACTGTAGAAATCCTACCGCAAGCTGCTTCTGCCTTTGCCGTTCATCTTCTTCGTCTCGTTGCTGTGCACGAACCAAGTACGTTTGTGCTTGCTTCAGTAAATCATCACATGCTCTCGCTTCTTCACCGGCGTGTGTACGTGAGACGTATCGCGATCCCGACAAGGTTTCATCTCGATTGTTGGATATGTAGGAGAACACTCTAAGTGTTGAATTGGAGAAAAATGTTGAGGAAACGATTTCATCACACAAACATGAGTGATGCTTCGTACTTTATGAAAAGACCGTGGAAGTCACAACCATCGCAATAATCACTAGAAATATACGAGAATTCGCACCTCTCAGCGGTTTTCAAGTCATCCATTGCGCCTCTCACTTGTGCTGCAGTAGATTTTACTTCCTGCAGTACCTCTGTAGCCATAAGTTTGAGTACGAAAGCGTAATTGAATTTAATCAGCACATTGTCAGGAGATTCGAACATGGCCTAAAAAATTACTCTTGTAGTTTCAAAAGGTTTTTTATAACCATTTACGCCTTACTTTCTCTAGCGTTTGTAGACTTTCTGTCAATTTTCCCGCTTTGTAGAATGCTCTAGCCAGATAAAGCAAACACTGATGATCCTGCTCCTTGTCGAATTTTTTAATTGCATTAGAATACCTGAAAAAAGGAAAACATGGCAACTGAAAAATGTAAAATAAAATATCTTAGAAATGNTCATGCGTCAAAGGAACTTGCACCCACAACGACAGCTCCACAGGATGATGGCGGTAATACCGAAATGTAACAATGCTCACTATTATAACGGTGGTATTGTTGCCAGCGTTTTAAAATAATTCGGAAAGAAAACCACGTACAGTCCGTGTNAAAAATTACTCTTGTAGTTTCAAAAGGTTTTTTATAACCATTTACGCCTTACTTTCTCTAGCGTTTGTAGACTTTCTGTCAATTTTCCCGCTTTGTAGAATGCTCTAGCCAGATAAAGCAAACACTGATGATCCTGCTCCTTGTCGAATTTTTTAATTGCATTAGAATACCTGAAAAAAGGAAAACATGGCAACTGAAAAATGTAAAATAAAATATCTTAGAAATGCTGGTTCAAGTGTAGCTATGCAGGAACGTGAAAAGCATATCACGGTATAGTGGCCTAAGAGCAGCGGAACCAGCCTTTAAAAACTCGAACTAACTCAAATTGAAACCTACATTTGTAATGCTGGAACGTACTGCCCGAGTTCAATGTAGACATGAGCGATATTCATCCAGACGTCTTCAAATTCGGAGGTAGCTTCACGAACTTGCGCAAATATATCTCGTGCATCTTGCCACATCGCTTTTGAAGCTAGTACGCAGCCTAAAGGAAAAGATGTAACACTAAATGGTATTGAATTCAATATAAGTAGCGGAGTTCCATGAAAATTGTGCCACTAATCGCAGTAAAGTAAATAACACACAAACTAGGGTGTCATAGTAAGCAAACTTACCAATTCCGTTAGCTGCCCAGATATTTTTGGGTTCAATCTTTAAAGCTTTTCCAAACATTTGCAGTGCACGGTCCATATATTTTGCCTCTTGAGCCTAAAAGAAATAGCACATAGAAATGCAAAATATTGCTTTTTTATAATCATTCAAATGATCTTATGAGTGGGGCGCACTGGTAAGGATTCCAGACAAACACCATTTACAGACATCTGACCAGATTTCAAATAGCCGCAAAAAGATCAGTCTTCCGGAATTCATGCCCGAAAAGTCTACTCACATCATACTTCGATGCCCATTCGCTATAAGGTAACCTATCAGTGAAAACTTGTTCCTCAGTAGTTAAAAAACAGCGAACAATTCAAGAACTCCAAAATCGATGCGAATGAATAGAAAGTTCTAGGATGCTAACATTAAGTCTTCAATCAATGACTATAAAAAATGATCAGACGCAAATGAAGTATCTGAGCTGACAGTGAGGCTAGGTATAAATAAGGTAATAGGAGTTCAAAAAAAAAAACAGCAAAAAAAAACAGATAAAACTTTGATATAGATGAAACCCTACTGGAAGATCATCGATCTTCTTACGACCGAGATTGAAGAGCATCTCCATCCAAACATTTCCAAGCGACACCCATGAATATGCATCCTCTTTGTCCATCTTATTCAGAACCTGCTCAAACTTCTTCTGTCCGGGACCCCACCTAGAGTATTGTTCTTTACAACATTTCAAACAAATATCGAACACTAAAGAATGATTTGCTCACTCATGTTTCGACATATGCAAATTTCCGATGAGAACCCATGAGTCTGCGTTGTTCTGATCCACAGACATAGCCTCTTTGAACCACACCGACGACTCATAAATCTGTCCACGATCGCGAGCCAGGCAGCCGAGTCGTAAATAACCTGGATAACTTATCATGCGTCAAAGGAACTTGCACCCACAACGACAGCTCTACAGGATGATGGCGGTAATACCGAAATGTAACTATGCTCACTATTATACCGGTATATTGTTGCCAGCGTTCTAAAATAATTCGGAAAGAAAACCACGTACAGTCCGTGTAGTTTTCTTGCTCTCTGAGAATGGCTTTGTACAACACTTCCGCATCCTCAAACAGACAGAGATGTTCCAAGCAACGAGCCAGGTTGTATCGCATAGTAATAACGTATGACGATAACTTGGAATCGCAAAGGTCTCCCTCAAGATCTTCCTAAACATTAATGACATGAAATTGGGACTTTGTAAGGAACATGGCGCTACACGCATTGGAAAGAGACTATACATTGTGTTCTTCGATGAAAGGATATATTTTATTTGGAGTAGATTGTGTGGACGCATCGATGAGAACAACTGAGGGATAGCTTCACCAAGAACGAGCTTTGTCTTGAATTTGACCACAAACCTGAAGCTTAGCTTCTGCAGCTTCAAAGTACTCCTTCGCTCGCTCATAATTTTCCATGGTCATATGTAAAGCACCGATGTTATTTAAAATTGCTGCTGGGGCATCCATTTGGCCATCTTCACATGGTTTGATCAACTCACAAGCGGTTTCATAGAGAGTAAGGGACTTCTAAATTGAGAGGTTTTACTATGCTAAAGCTAGGTATAGCCTAGCAGAAAAAAATAGACCATCGTAGAAGTAATCAAACCTGCGGATCGACCCCTTCTAAGAGCTGAGCCAGATCAATCAAAACTTCTACATCATTGGGCATGGCCTCCAAGACTTTTGTCAACATCTCACGAGCCTTTTCTTGCCGTTCCTGATGAACAGTATAATAAAGAGGGGAACAGCAGCTTTAGCTTCAAAAAAAAAAACGGAATTGCTTCTAGCACATTCTAGCATTCTTCTAGCACAAATTTCGTGGCATGTGACTCTGACAATGAACAATTAGGACGCCGCACCTGATTTCCGGGATCTGTATGAGCATATAAAGCTGAAAGAATCTTCATTGTGTCCACATTATTCGGCATTACTTTCAGAACAGTTTCAAAAGCAGTAATCGCCTGGAAATTAAATTAAAAAGTACTTGTTCACCGCGGTATTTCTCCTCGGTATCGAGCGCAGAAGGTTTGAAGCACATGATTAACCAACCTGATTGAACTCGCCTCGCATTATGTAGAGCTGACCAAGGCCATACTGGGGCAGTACAAAAGTAGGGTGGTTCAGCGTTGTAGCTTGGTAGTAGTACTAGATAGATAGTTTATAGCGTAAATAAAACATCTCAAAAAGAACCACCCTCGATAGAAACTAAAAGCAACCTTGAACGCTTTCTCATAGTCGCGGCTATAATGGAAGTAACGTGCAAGAATATAGCAAGCTTCGGCCTTGATTTCATCGCTTTCAGTCATGTTCATTGCATGCCATGCAAGCCGCTCCACTTTCGCCATTTCCTTAAAAAAATGTGATTTTTGAACAAGTAGGGGTGGAAAACGGAAAAGTTCAACATCAAGGACAGCTTCAGAAAAAAAAAACTATTCCTTAGAAAAGTGGGACCAACCAGTTAAACGTATAGTAACTATTCATTAGTAATAGCATTATTTGACCCAAGGTTTCTCAGAACGAAACTATCAAAGTCAAGTTCTCCTCTGTGAAATCGACTAAAGCGAAAGATAACGTACCCCTTTGAAGAAAAAATGATTTGCAAGGTGAACAAGCACAACAGGGTTCTCCGGCTCCAAACTGTACGCTTGACCGAGGCATAGAACAGCACTTTGAGCGCCTTCGACGGTGTGCGTATTGTAGTCGAGAATGGCAAGGGCCGACAAAGCACAGACGTTGTCACTCTGCAGCTCAAGCGCTCGTTCAAAAGCTACTCTGAAAATTATACTGCATTGTGAAAGCTGCTCATAGCTCTGGTATTTTACATGAACAGATATACTGCAGCAAAAAATCCTACGTGAAATTAATATTCTATGCGAAACAAATTGGATAAGGTCTACCCATAAATAAAACAGTAAAGTCTAAGTTGCGAAAGGTTGACAATAAACGTACCTTGCCTTGTCTGTTATTCCTAACCTCGCTAAACAGTAACCAATACCAACCCTCATATCAGCGGGTCCGCTAGGTTTTTGCCGTAGAGCCTAAAGTCATGAAAATTTACAGGAAGTATAGAAAATCTCAGAAAACCTGTATGGATTGGAATCTTACCCTTTTCAGGAAATATAGCGCTGTCTTATAGTCTTGTTTACTAAATGCTATGATTGCTTTACCCATCATCGCTGGAATATCATAAGGATCCTGAAATAGATAAGCGTTTCACGAAAGTTTAGATCACTTCAAAAAGAAGTTCAAATCGCCAGAATGGTCACTTGATAAATCGTTCGAATGAACCTCAAAAANAAAAAGCTTACCTGTTTAAGAACAAAATTAAATTGTTGATCTGCTGAGTCCACTTTACTTGCACGTGCTTCGACTAAACAGAAATAAGCCCGTCCAGTTAAATGGGGCATATCATACATTTTTATTCGATCTGCTGTTGTGTACAGGAGCGTGGCCTTTGAGAACAGATCACGTTTTCGCTCTTTCGAGGTCCGCTCTTTGTGACCCTAAAAAAGTAACTGCGACACAGTACTACAAACTTGCAATCGAAAAATGGACTCTTGACATACCAGTCTAACATAATAAGCTGCTAATATATCCAGAGCGCGCATCTGATCATTTTCGACTTCAGGATAATCCAAAGAAGCTTCGCTTCCAGAGACTTCCAATAAACGCACAAAATCATCTACTCGCCCGCAACGATAATATTCCAGCTAGAACAAGATGAAAATAATGAAACACCCACAAAAAAATGAAACCGAAAACAAAAATTGTAATCGAGTACAAACATTTCGTTGAGGAAGAGTTTGAGTAAGAAAATTTGAATAGCGATCGGGAGAGAATCGAACACATAACATTCTTGAAGAATAACTTACTCCCAAATCGATCCAGAAATGTAAAGAAGCTTTTTCAGCACGTAATATTTCCAAAACTTCATCTCCTTCAGGCAGAGCATCAAACGAAATCTCTATAATTTCCTGTAAGCAAACAATGCAATTCAGCAATACGCCAACACAATTTTCCAGCAATTAGGAAAAACTGGTAAATGCCCCATTCTGTCAGTAACAAATCTGAACTAACTTCTTCATTTGAATAAACGAACAAACAACATTGTGGTTTAATTTAAATGGAAACTTACGATAAAAGCTACATTTCAGTGCAAACCAAAGCAAATAATCTAGAAAGAACATTGTCGTCGATGAAAGGCTCATATTTAAAACTCAACGCTGCGGCTGCGAAGACATCACGATGTTCATACTCAGAGATATCTGCTAAACAAGCTTGCCGGACATTTAGTTCGCGTTCATACATTCTGATCAAATCAGGTATAACTTCTGTTAACGTCTGCAAAATATGATTCGTGGTCGGGCCTGGATTTTGCCATAGCTTGATCCACGACTCGACACGAGTCTGCGCTGTCTGCAACTTGGTCACAACTCGACCCAATTCCTTGACTAAATCACAGAGTTGTTCCGCATCTCGGACGATCTCAGCTGTGAGACGAAGTTTTGTATCGTGGTCGAGAAGTACCGTCTCTGTACCCTCTGCTCCGGAAAGTTGTTGCTCACTATCGTATTTTCCGTATATTATTCGTAATTTATTGTTGACCAAACGGTCGAGGACTACAGAAGAGCGTGAAGACGTAGCTGTCCAGTTTTGTGTAACATTCCAAACTTCCACTGAGAATCGCCGTATTCTTTTCAGATTCTCCGCCTAAACGGTTGGGCTGCGCATATAGAGATATCCTGAGTTAAGATTCAAAAAAACTAAATTTGGAAGCTAATTATTCCGCTCTGAGAGAGCACACTTCCAAAAAAATCGAAAAATAGCGAAAGTATACTTGAAAAGCTTCCAAGAAATTGCTAGAGTAATATTTTATCGTCACATAAAATGTAGCTATCCATCACGACTCCGACCTTCTTGGTTGAAAAAGGATTAAGCCCTATTCCTTTCAGCAAAAACGACTATGCAGGTCATTTCTTTTGCAGAGAAGCACTAAATGATATTCTGCTCTACGAGATCAGTTATCGGATGAAAAGATTATAAGCACAGAGTTCTAATTCAAAGAAGTCTAACTGCACAAAAACATTGGACTTGCAGTTTTAGGTGAATCTGTAGATAAAACGAAACTAATTAGCTTCCAAAACTCGTGTAAATGATATCTTTACAGGAAAATAAGAAGAAACGTTTAAAGGTAAATATGAACTTACATCTTCAAGACTGTCTCTCAATGGTATAGAAACAGATCGTGCCATACTCACATTGATGTCAAGCTACCATATGATTTTTTGTGAAAAAATATATTGGAATATACAAAAATACTAGATAAGGGCACCTAAAAAACCGAATTATTTGAAGAGCGAGTCAACACAGGCAAGTTCGCGAGGTGAAACGAAGGAAAGTCAAACAACACGAAGGGTAACGCCCATTCCTAAAGAAAGCTTTGAAGTTGAAGGACTCTCGTATGAGAAAGACTGAAACTCCTCAATAATGCCAATCTCAGCACACTCAGTAGGAAACATAACTATGTTAAGATCGATACGACTGCGTTTTTGTTCGAATAAAAAAAAAACAGCAAAAAGCAGAAACCTAAAAAATCAAAAAGCAAAAAATGTATCGGTGAAATTCGCCTGCGTTATATTTATTCATCTTGTTACCATGTAATTTTCAAAATAACGATAAAACTGGATGAAGAATGCTTTAAAAAAAGGCTAGCACAATGAACGTATGCTGGAGACTGAATTCTTCAGGGCAAGTAGCTAAATAAAAAGAAATTAGATCTAAGGTGAATTAGAAGATTTAGGCGGTAGGACTCAACTGCTACCCAGAGGGAGCAAAAAGAAACGGATCAAGAACGAAAGTACGTCGAAGGAAAATGCATTGTTCCGATAAGCCAAAGCAAAGGAGAACAAGCGTCTCCGTTTCGAAATGAAATTCCTGAGAGTTTGATTGTTGCACAATACAAAACATTCCCAAAATAGATTACTATGAAATAAAATGGTAAAATTGTAACTTCGGTAGAAGGAACAGCGCCGTGGAAGCATCAAAATTGTAAAAACTGGCGAATAACAATGAAAAGCTCTGCAGCATTATTACAAATAAGCAGTGCACTCACGGACAATGCCACGGTCCCACGTTTATCTCAGAAAATTGCGTCGCAATGGTGCATGAAGAGGCTCATTTTATGAATCCTTAAAAAATACAAAGATCCCTGCAGATAGCTCGGTAAATGTTTATCCTAACAGTCTTTGAAGCAAACCTCGAGTTGCTTGAAAGGATGAGGTTGCTCAGTGAGTTGTTGGAGCAAACCGCCGGAATATGAGTGGAAAGGATTTTATACGAGAGGGTAAAAGAGAAAAAGCGATGGGCGTTTTCAATTCATGATGGCATTTGGCTGCATTCAGAGTTTGTGTTGGCTCCGTCCCGCCACGTCGACTGTGAACGCCATTCGTCGAGGTCGTACATGGGAGCCGATCAATAGGTACCTATATTTTTCGTGGAATTCTCCAGAGATTCGATACATCTAACACCACGATCAATTCAAGTTATAATGACAAGTGATTAGAAAACAAAGCGAAACCACTCCAGTGGTCTAAATCTCCAGTTCCCACAGTCGCTCCTCGCTTTCTTTTCAGAAAGTTTCAAGAAATCCGAAACTGTGATCCTCCATTATGAAGCTCTTTCGTTTCAGTACACAAGAAGGCCAAAACAATGAAATTGGTATGCATCCAAATTCCCATCGTAGTCTCACTGCTGCCTTGCAAGTAATACACGTCATTTTACGCGATATCACGACTACTGGAAATACAATGAAATTAGGGTGTGGTGCGTTAGGAACGAAATGGTCGCGACGCGGTGAGAGGGGCGTCGCACGCGAAGGAATAAAATAATGATCGCATATCGACTGAGCTCTATGAAGAACGCAAGAGCTGTAATAACGGCGAATGAGTGGTCCGCGACAGCCGCGTGCGGCGGATCGATTACCCAAAATCGTTCCTAACGCCCGTCTCCCATGAAATTATGATGACAAGGGTCTGCGTTCTTGCTTATCGTTAGATATGTCCGTGCTTCAAACACAAAATAACAAACAAAGTGTGCAACGGTGCAGTACCTCCATGAGAACGATAATTTGCAAAGTAAAAGGGACTTTTAAAAAATCTTTATTAAGGCCTAACTTCTCATTACATTGTAGTACAGTAACATTCTTCATTCTCGTAGTACAAAAACATTTCTCTCGTTACATTAATAAGTTGTAAAAATAGTGAGGCAATCTCCAAAGTGAATTTTCGAAAGTTAAAGAACCGGATTATGAGCATCCGATCTAGCTGTGTCGTATTCTGAGTGAAAAGACGACCAAAGCCAGTCCACGTAGGAAGAACAGTATGAATAGGAGTATAGCGAAGTTGATCCAAAAGTAGTTCGAATCAAAGCCAAGTAAGTTAAGAACCTGAAAAGCTGGCTGTAATTCAAATGTAGTGAGGCCTGATCTGTCCACTGTATAAAGTGTTCAAATCCAAATATAACCTTACCTCATCACCATTCTTTGCTGAACAAATCATAGCATCACTAACTTTGCTAGATGGACAACCTTAAATGAAACTTGCGTAACCCTCAGTGGGATTCACAGGTTCAGAAAGTACATTTTGAAAAAAGGAACTGTATGCACTGATCTTGCAGAGATATGGCTATGGCCGGATTGCCGTGTGTAGTACTAAGTAGGCCGCGGGACCGGAACAACTACATCAGTCCTGCGTGGTGAGACAACTAGCCAAGAGATGCCGCGCGCAATGATTGAATTGGGATTCGCGGGCTAGGACCCACTTGGAATGCAGCCTACGCATGGCAGAGTGCATGAAGCGGACACAGTGGCGCCTCCTGACTCAGCGTCGAAACCATTAAAAAGCTTACCGGGTATAGTGTCGATTGGGTTTAGCAGGATTATGAGATGAGCTTCGTATGCATATTTGTACCAAGATATATATGTGAGTGGCTTGAAATAAAATGGGACAGTTCTCAAATCGATTAAAAAGCCCGCTGAAATTGAGAGGATTTCCTGAGCACCAGCCTGCTTGGGTGATGACCACAGTCTACTATCGAGCCTCACATACCGTGGAATCTACTCTATAATGGGATCAGGAGTAAAGGGTAATCAACGAGATGGTTTGAATTTAGACAAAGGACACTGAAATAACTTTTTCCTAAACGGCAGCATTCTAGAACGCTTCCTATGTACAGTACTCGGGGTATGTACCTTTTCTATGTAGGACACCTAAGTTTTGAGCCCTTACCGCTCAGGTCACCAAATCTGGGTCTTTAGCTGTTCGGGACCTACTCTTATGGCCCGCTTCCGCACAATGCCTCCTGCAGTGTCCTACTCCCTGCAGCATCAGCCTCCCCTTTTCTTCTCACTGCCAGTCGATTCTGAAGGTGACAGAATCTGGGTCTTTAGCTGTCCCCTCATTCGGTGTGACCATTACCAGCGTCATACTTACCGAAGACGAAAAGTGGCTTGAGAATCAGAGGTAGAAAAGTAACAGCCATTTCTTGGTTTCCAAAGATACATGCTGCTGCATAAGCTGAAACATACCATTGACACAGGAATGCAGTTTGGAAAAACTTTTACTCGAAAAATAACACAGTCATTTAATTCATTTTTGCTTCAGCATTCTTACTACTTCTAGCCAGCCACTCGAGAGGGGAGGGAGGGTCTACGAAGTTATCTGTCCTACTCTGCTGGAATTTTACGAAAGACGAGGGAGTGACCGACAGCTAGAACAATTTATAGGCGGCTCTGAAGGCGGAGCTTAGCAGTTGACTCTTATAGAGCTAAGGAATTCGCACAAGTCAACAGAAGATTTGCCACTCACCAACAGATGCTGCAAGATTAGCCACTACGATATTTAACAAGTTGAATAGACAAAATTGTGAAACAGTTCCTGAGTAGCCTGAAACAAGGAAATCTGGCTCGAAGGCATACGTTCGTGGTTATACCACCCAAGACCCCTTAGTAGCAGAGGCACGTCGACCAACTACATTCTAAATCTAATATTCTTGATGACTGTTAGACCAGGGCAGTTACTGACTGGATCCCTCGGGACATCAAAGGAACATCACGACGACCACCAGCGCGAGAGACAAACTTTCACGAAGGCTTTAAGCGAAAGGAATGCTATGCCTCATATCCCTCGAGCGAGCACGATCTAATGGATCACTCTGGCTCGCCACAGGTACGAATAGAGGCGATCGGAAGTCGATAACCAACGGGAGGACAGGCGATACAGGTGAACATTTGCTAAGAAAGCAGAAGTTTTTGCCGATTTCTCAAGAAAAAGAACCATAAAACAACCAAAAATGTGCTAAACCAATATTGCCAAATAGGAGATTAATGCATAAAACTTACCTGCTAGTAAGTACAAAATAAACGAGTACATTGTAGGGAATATAATATACTGTAAAACCTTAAATGAAGCGTAGTGAGAGGTGTTCTGATAATGTTGCTGATATTGGCTAACGTGAGAGGGCTGACAAGCTGCGGCATAAAAGCCATTAAAGAGAGTAAAAGCTGTTTTTTGGTTTTGTAAGGGATAAAGAGCATGATGCCTGAAAAGCGCAAGGGCTTCCTATTCGAGACCAAAGTTTTGCCCACAACTCGCCATTCTTCTTTGTAGATGTAATCCATTTCCATTGTGAACTATGCTTTTTATAATAAGATGTTATCTCACACTAGCCATGCTGGTTCCGATGAAGTAGGCACTTGGAGCATATGTGTGAGACTGATACTCTCGAATTACCACAGGCAATTCCGCGATGAAAAGCTGAATCAAAATGAATAGAACAACCGAAATACCAGGAAAAGGAAAGCGAATATTGGTTACTGCTACTGATCTAGGTGTAGAAGTTAACAACCAGCCCTATATGGCGAACCGACTGGTAATAATATAAAAGGAGCACATACGTAGACACAGGGAAACAAAAAGATGTAAGTCATATCAGCTGTAGCTCGTAATGCAGCTCCCTTGTAGTTCATGAGAGAATCTTTTGTGAAACTCGACTGGAAGTATATCAAGCCAAGAATCATTGATATAGCCTAAATAGGTTCCAATTATTTTATAGTATCCATAGGGAAGATTGAAGAAAAATCAAACTCCCTGAGCATAAACTGGAAAGAAAAATGAAAAACGAAAAATCTGGAAATACTCACGAAAACTTGAACAAGCCGAACTGTCACAACGACAGGATCTCTGACCAGACTTCTAGAAGATCTAACAAATAACCACCAAGTTTGCGTATACCAAGATGCGCAGTACCTGAATTCTAATGTGCTTCTTTACTCAAACCCACAATCAGAGGAACTGTACTGCTACGGCTATATTCACGAGCGAGGCTCTTATTGGCGGCGCCACTTTCTGAACTCAAATAACCTGGTCCCAAAGCTAAGCTTATGAGAACTTATGAATGCTCCACATACTATCCTGCCCTGCAAAATTGACGTTTCGATTATGTTCCTATTTGTTCCCCATGAGAATCGAAATAAAACGTGAACCTGCGTTCCGCTTTAGCAACCCAGGTGAAATTATTTTTTGACCTTATTTTTTTTTTTACCTAGTACTCAAAGTATTGAATTGAGCTATCAGAAGGATCACCCATCATGAAAATTGCATGACTTACTCAGCATCCTCTCCCAGATCGAATTTTATCTTTCTTTTATATGATGTATTTGCAAAGCCATGAGTGATATGATGCACAATTCTGGCGTCATCCGAGTTTCCAAAGAATTCCAGGATTCTCTAAAGCGAGTCTTCCTCTATCGAGGCCTACTTGTTCATAGGGTTGATACAACCTATAACCTACCTCAACCCTCTCGATGAATTCTCGTTCAGAAACATCATCGTCTTGTGATAGAACTTTCATCATATGGTCGGGTAAACTCATGAACCTGGGACAAGGATATCCACAACTGCAAGAGGGCTTTTACTGTAGACTGACATATTTGCCAACAAAATCGTATTTTTGTAAGAGTTCCCTTTGAAACGGGGCAGTTTCCATGTTAACTCACTCATTTAGGAACTCCCCCACTTCGGAAGCATTCCCTTGAAATGCCACTTCCCCATTCGCCATTAGAATCAACCTAGAGATGCATTTGAGGTAACTGCCTACTGTTTGTATCTGTTGGAATAGAGAAATACCTATCTGCCATTTCATAAACTTGACTTGAAGGCTGATGAATTGTGGTAACAACAGTCTTTCCTTGAGAGGCAAACATTTTGAGTGCCACAACAATCTTAAAAAGACTGCTTAAGTTTACTACAGTGCAAACAGAAGCAAGAGAAACAAAAACTGGTCTCTAACTAATTGGCCACTGTCAGGGTTCTAGCTCACTCTATGTCCATCTTCCAGTCATCCTTAAGTTTCGTTAACCCTCTCCATTTCTCTTCGTACAACCCTTCTCTATTCGTCGTTAGATAGTTAGAAATTTAAGGTTCAGATATCAAAGTTGATATCTAGAGGTTGGTACATGTAGTAGCGCTGCGAGAGTATCGGGTTCTCCCGCACGGCCACAGATTACTGTAAGAAATTTAATCCAGACGAGATTTTCGTTTTTGTCCCTACACCCATACATTCCACATTATGGTACCCTGCTCAGCAACGAAATTAAGGGAAGATTTGGAATAATCGTACTTGTAGCGACATAAACGAATCCAGGCCAGAAGTCGGTTCATCACAGAATAAAATCCTCGGATTCGATAAGATCTGAAAAGGAAGAGTGAGGGAAAAACAACTTCACCATAAAAAACCTCACCTCGGTAGCAAATGCGAGCCGTTTCCGTTCACCTTTGGAAAGACTTTTGACAAAAGCGTTCCCTATTTGCGTTTTTCTACATTCGGTCAAACCCATCTAAACATTCATATCTCTCGGGAGTGAAATGAATATTTTCAACCAAACATTTCCAAATGGGTAGCCCTGACGTTTTTGTTTATTAACTATTATTTACCGCAGTCAGAGCCTCAGAAACAATGGCTTTGCGCTCTTCGTTTGTTCTCTTGTCACGCATGCGGAGCCGTGCCTAAATTAGTTGGGCATAGGATCGGTATGACAGATGTAGAGGACAGGCCACATTTCTTGCTGGAGCTTTTGTTTTTCAAGGGACAGCAATGAATTCAACGCAAAAATGCATACTCACTTTATTTTATTTAAATTTAATTTTAATTTTAAATTTTGCGAGCTAACCAGTTCGGCGAGGGAGCGATCTTCATATACGGCTTACCTTCTGGAGGAACTACGGCGAATTCCATGCCAATGCGTTCTTATACATCTATCTATACAATTTTTCTACTAAAAGTTTTCTAGGGTACCTTTCGTTACATTTTTTGACAAATCAACTACAGGACTTTAAAACATATGTACAAAAAGTGGAAAAGGCCACTGTCCTGTAGGTATCTGGTTCCTCAGAAGAGGATATTCTTACCGTGAACATCAGCTGTTCTTCAACGGTTGCTTGGCTTATAAAAAGGTCTTCTTGTTGTACGTATGCACTGAGTTTCTTCATGTCACCCCATTCGACCAAACTGCTGAAACATTCTTTCGCATGGGCCTTGCAATGGTGGCTCTTTCGACTTCCAGTTCGAATACTGTTTTGAATAATTTATCACCGCTCAAGCAATTTCATTACGACGGAGACAAAGAACGTCATGACGACCCTAGTTTTTTAGTTAACCCATTGGCAACCGCGCCTTTTAGGCGTGTCTGGGTTGTGGGACTGGGCGAGATTTTCGCGGGCTGTTGCTGTGGCCCGCCAGCGGGCCATGCAGTTCCGGGGAGCAACCATTTTTTTGCGATTTGTCCCCCTGAGATAAAATTCCATAAAAATGTCATGGTAACGCTTCCCCTTGCCTTGCTTCTAGCGCCATGCTAACATCCACAGAGAGCTACCCTTGGTACAGCAGTGTCTCTCCTACCACTCAGTGCTTCCCCTTGCCTTGCTCCCAGTGCCGTGCTAACATCCACAGTGA